TATGACATCAAGGTGAGGGAAATCAGCTGACTCTATTGCCTGATACTAGACTTTTGCCGTGTCCGAGTCTTCAGTATGAAGCACTTACACGAAGACAACTCTTTTTACGCCCCCTGTTGGCAGGGCCCGTTTGGAAGGGCACCGCCTTTTTTCGTGATCATCCGATCCTCGTCAAGATCCAGACTTTCGTTACCTTGCAGGCGCCGGTCTTTTTTTTTTTTTACAGGCCGCGCGAGAAGACTCGAGATTTCTTCCTTCGCCCTAAAAATCCGGCACCAGCTACGCAGGCTAGACTTTCGTCACGTAATGCACCTCCCCTCAGCGTTGCGTGACGGCACAAATATCGGTTGTGTAGCAGACTAGACTTTCGTACATTGGCCTTTCAAAACACACTTGGTCTTGTCATTGCTTGAGTCATTCTAATTTATTTTCACAAGGATGTTGCTGTTTGGGGTTAATTTCCTGCTTAAGCCATTACCGAGTGTCCTCATCCAAACAAAAAATTATAAAGAAGATATCAAACAAGTTTGGAAACAATCACTCAAAGTGTAGAGACTCGATCGCAGGTTTGATAAATATTGAATCGAGTTGCGAAGGAAGTCAACAAGCAGCAGTCTTTCTGCTCTGTTAGTAGTCTGTTCCATAGTCTTGCCGCACTAAACATAAGCAAGCGCCGTCCGTATGACGTTTTACTCTGGGTAAAGTCAGATTCCGAGTTCAGTTTTGCGCTTGCGAAGCCGCTATCTTCCTTTGTCAGCGCTCTCCAAACTAGGTTAACCCTTCCGCGTTTACCCCGCTGGTACTCAGTTCCCTGTACTCCAAGGTCCCCTCATTGTACCACCTTAATAAAGTTTCTTCCTTTGTTGTGTTTTTCTGTAGATGCTGACCTTCCTTATGCTCGTTAGACTCTCCTCCTTGTGCCCTAATGCCATACTTCAGCGTAAGTATTGACTTAAATAACGATGAAACATGATCGACGGTACCTTATGTTGTACCCTCAAGGAGAGTATAAGGGTGTGGGGTGAGAAGAAAGTGCTCAATCTATTACCTTTATTGAAGAGTCACCTCTATTGAGGGGAAAGGGACACTTTTTCTGAGTCCTGAAACCTGGGTTTAACCTACATTCAGGGGGGGAGGGGACACCTTAGCAGTCAAAGGGTGACTCACCACAAAGAGGGTTGATATCTCAAAGTGTACTCTAATCACCGTTATAGAAACTTTTACAAATTGAAGTAACTTACTTAAATCAATTAAATGCACTTGAGTGAATTCAACAGAAAATGTCGTAGAGATAAGATAATGATGATTTATGTTGTCTTTGTTGGTTAGTTCTCAATGCAAGATCCAGACCTTGAGATAGGGGGGGTTGTCATCCAGACCCTTAGATAAGGGGGGCGGTCTTCAAAAAAAATGTTTTCGGCCCTTTAGACCTCAGTTTGGTCTAAAAATAAGGGGCTGGATCCGCTGTCCCGAGGGTGTCCCCTAAATATAGGTTCCACTATACAGTAACGTTCGTTTTTATCTGCAGGAGTGGATATTCTTGTGGAACCTTTACGCGCCACATTACAAACGAAGGTAAAGGCGAACTCCGTGAAACAAGAATTTGAAAAACAGGACGAGCTCAAAAGATCTGCGCTCAGAGCTGTGGCTGCTCTGTTGTCCATTCCCGACAGTGGTAAGTGCTCACATAATGACATATGTGTTGTTCTTACAAGGACAAGGATAGCCTGCGAGCAAGCCCTCCATTTAGGGGATATCGTAAAAAGTAGACGGGCGAGAGGCACGCAGGCTCCTCGCGGCCCGCTTCGCTCGCCCAAATAGGAGAGCTTGCTCGCACGCTAGGACAAGAACGATTTAAATGCGAAAACGAGATTTTCTCAATACTAGGACGGTAGTGCACGCCCGTGCACTTACGTCATTTTGGCGGGAAAACCTGGTAGCCGTCGTCATTCTACTCTGAGTTTTGGTAGGAATGTCTCAGTAGCGGAACCAAGTTATGAAGTGTTAGAAGTTTGATCATTTTGCTTAACTTTCTCCAATAAAGACAAAAGTGCTGACTTTTCGGGAGGAAAAAGGGACAATGAAGTTCTCCGCAGTGTCTTGTTTTTTAGATACGCGAAATAACCTCGTATACATAGTCACTCTCGTCCTCGAATCTAAAGCTCTCTAATGTTACACCGGATGAATCGGTTGTTTTTTGTTTTTTGTTTTTTGTTTTTTTTTTTTGCCTGTGGGCAATGCACAGATCTTGTCAACCAAACTGAGCAAAACAAAACCAGAAACACGTAATATGTTAAATCAACCAAACAAAAATAACTTTCAATATTTATTTTACAGATTTTTGATAGGGTTTCTGTTTGTCTTTTCTTTTGCCTACTGCCAGTTTTCAAGGGTTGTTCCGGGGATGTTCCGTGGGCGTTCCGGGTGTGTTCCGAGGGAAAGGTTGTGGAGTTTTATAGGGTGAACAGGGTGTAATCCTATGTTCCTATGTTCCGAGGATTTTAGCACATGCCGAGCTATACAGTACAACACATTCCTCTTAACACAGAGGCCAAGACTGCCGAACAGCGCGCATTCTGTTTTGCATTTTAAGTGCCAGCTCAAACAAAGTGACAGCTATGCTATTTTTAACTGATTTGGAGTCTACTTTTGTTTTAGATAAAAGCCCTTTGCTCAGTGAATTCTTAGCACAGATCAAAACGAGCGCCGAGTTGGTTTCCATGTTTGATTCCATTCAGAGAGATGCAGGCTCTGCTGATTCCATGGATACCAGCTGAAAAGCTTTAAAAAGTAATTTGTTATAAACAAAAAAAGGGGGGAGGTTTCTCCCTAGGAGAAATCGCTAAACAAGAAAACAGATAATTGTTCTGTTGTGTTTATTAAAAAAAGAAAGGTCTTTCAGGTTACCTTGCCATTGCCGAAGTGAAAAATTGAAGAAAAAAGCAGATTCTGCTCGCGAAGTATTGAAAACAAAATTAATGCACATAAAACAACTGGATAGGAGAAGGATAGAACCGCCTCAAAGTACAATAAACAGTACCAAAGTAATTTTGTGGGTTTGTTTATGTGGTCAAGTTGAAGAGTTCTGTCCTTTTTTATGCGCTGTTTGTTTATTATGTTTTCGTTTTCGTTTTGTTGCTCGTGGTGACAGTAGCGACGTTATTAAAAACGTACTCCAAACAATAACGATATCCCGCTCTTGGAATCTCCAAGTAATAGCGATATCCCGCAGTTGATATCTTCAAATGATAGTGATATCTCGCGCTCGATATCTCTAAACAATAGCGTTATCCCGCACCTGATTTCTCCAAATGATAGCTATATCCTGCACTTGAAAATTCGAAACAATAGCGATATTCCAATTTTGGCGAGAGGGAAACAAAAACCTCTCAGAGCAAGGGAGAGAACCGACAACAAACTTCAACCCACATATGGCGTCTGAATTAACCCCGGGGCCACATTGGAGGGAGGCGAGTGCCCTGACCATTGCGCCACCCTTCTCCCCCAAGGGCAACAAAGCGATGAGAGGCGCACCCTACCCCACCCCACCCCACACCCCTTTTAGTTTTCACCGGGGTCAGTCAGTCAGTGTCCAGTCTTTGTGACACCAGTGAGTTGGTTTTCAATTCATTCACCCATTCTCTTCGTGATAAAGTTAAAGCAGAATTATTGGTCACTAACTTTTTCATGTGTGGACGAAACCCTATGGTGCTACCATTGATAGGACTGTATACTTTTTCGTTCTTTTTGGTTCGTGTTTGTTTGTTTGTTTTTGTTCTGTTTCTTTCTTTGCTTTTATTTTGCTCGCCATTTAATAGAAGTGAAAGAGTAAAACATTGCAAAGATATATTGATCTTTTTGTGGGGTCTTGTCAAAAGTAGGATTGCTATGATTTTTTATTTCATTTTCAAAGGCTTATCACACTTAATCCCCACAATGTAAATAAAACCCCTGATAATAAATTCAAACACTTACATCTGATCAAAAAACAAGAAGCATTTAACCTAGAGATAAACGTCCAGAAATTGAGCTGCAATACAAATACATAAGCGCGCCTTCTGAGTTGTTGTATAGTTAAACTTTTTAAAGTGAATACTCAGACGTGTTGGAGTCTAACCCACTTGAGTTGCCGTTTTCAAAAAAAGGGCTTGGAACGCCCTGCTGGGTGCCAGAGTCGTTTCATGAGCGGGTTTTGATTTTTGTCAAGTCTTTAAAGTGACCCGCTCGTGGCTTCGGCCTTCGGCCGAAGAAGTGTAATCGACCTGTAGCCGATCCCAAAACATCTCCCCACTCAATCGCCGCACGCGGGAAAAAAAACTGTTGTACCCTGGGTAGAAATACCCCCTTCCAATGGCTTTTTTAAAACTATTGGATTTTAGTGTAAAGATATGCGATTAAATATCATGCAAGCGCAGACAACTTCAAATGCTTGTATACAGCTGTTTCGAGAAAGGTCGTCGGAAAAAAATATGCACGCGAAAATCCCGAAAGGTAATATGGGATATAATCAACACACTGTTTTTTTGACACTTTAGCTGTCGAACCTACTTTTGTTGCTTTTCTTTAGCACTCGCAAACATACGGCCATGGTCTCTCGTGCATGATTCAAATTTCTTTGAAAAACAGTGAACTCAAAACCACCCACAAAACCTTTCGGGATTGTCGCATGCATTCTTCCCGACAACCTTTCTCGAAATAGCTGTAAACACAAACCGATCAACTAGTGTTACTCGTGCGAACAATCAGTCACTGGAGCTTCATTACAAGAACACAGGCCCACTCTCCTTATTCAAAGTCGAAACGCTGATCTGGGAGTAATTCTCTCTCAGAACTACGAATTTCAGTTGCATCCAAGTCGGTTGGCTTCGTCTTTATTACACGCGCAACGCAAGTGAAATCGTCTTCGTTACATCTGCAAAGCAAAGAAAGAATCGTATCAAGAAATGGTCTATTGTAGCGGGTCCAATTCACCAAAACAATAGCCTTTTGTCCTAGGTGTTGCTACCGAAAACAGACCGAAGAATGTATGCATAATCATTTAATCTTCGGCGGGACAAATTTTATAATATTAGGAGAGAGGAGAGAGGTTTTTTGCTTTGACGCGATGCTATTTTACATGTGAGATTTATTGTGGCACACAACGCAGGAGTGTATATTTTGCGGGTCGAGCGGGAAAACCGTTTCACTTTTGATCGTCACTTTTGATCGGACTGTGCTTTTATACTGAGTGCTCTGAACAAAAACAATATGATTTCAGAAATACTTTACAGAGAACGTTCTTAAACTTTGATTAGTCCATACCTTTTTTTTTTTACTTTAGTGCCCACAAAATCAGGGCAGTTGATAGCCAATCAGATTTGAGAATTTTGTCATAATTATGATTAGTAAGCGAAACAATAACTCTGCGCGCGCATCCGTCACCCTATTCTGTTAATTTCGTTGCGGTCCCTGCAAAACTACGCTGTAAAATGGTCCTTGGAAATAGAAAGGCGTGTAATTTTGCACGTGCAGGCAGGACACTTTTTGGTACATTTTATTACCTTGGCTCCACGAGCACGACGTGAAATTTTCTTATGCGTGTTTTACGGAGGACGTTAAGACAGCGACTATTTTTTTTTTCTTTCTTAACTTTGAGTGCGGTCCCCAAGAATTTAACTCCAAGGAAATTCACCTGCACTTGACATAATTACCATTTTTTTACAGAAAAGATACCCCTTTCGTATTATATACATTTTTTTTGACAAATAGTATCCCTTTCACATACACTTTCCATCATCTCAAACGGCTTTAAATGCACTCACTTTAAAATATGAATAAGTCACGAAACCCGAACGTTTTTCCCCCTTTTTCACCGCCATAAAATGCTTCTGTCGGCCCTACTTACTTCTACTGGTAAAAACCGTACCATTTCGACCCATGAAAGGAAATCCGGATTCCGGAATGCGGGAAAATTTTGCTTATGGAATCCGGACTACAGCTCAAGGAATCCGGAGTCCCTCGAAAGATTAAAATCCTAGAATACAAGTTCTGCTGACAAAGACTGGAATCCAGTTCCTAGAATCTAGAATCCAAGACTGTCCTGGAATCCTTTACACGGGGCGATACCACAAACATCCGAACTCCAAAATCGTAAGGACTTTTAAGGTTTTATCTCCTGCTAGCAAAAGATCTCTTAAAAATAAATTTCTGTGCAAGTTTTCAAAGTGATAGCGTTTTCCGTTTTGAAAATATCGTTCTTTCTAATTTCGCAAGTTTACTCCGCGTGACGTTAATATGGCGACCGAAAAGGCCGTCACATATGCTAAAAAATAATTTTATTGCATAATGTTATGCCCTTTGTATGATGAAAGTATTAGAAATGTGTTTAGGGGAATAATTTGCTCGTTCGCAGCGAACGACAATAACAACAATAACCTTGCCAATAATTCCTCACATATACCTAATATCTTAAATAAACATTTTCAAATGTTGGCAACATCTCAGCAAGCAAATTACCACCGGCGGAGCGCCCCTTCACAGAGCACCTAAGAAAGTCCAATTCGCCAGAACTTTCGTTTTTCTTCAAACCTGTAACTCCATCGGAAATTCAAATTCAAATGTTATCTATACCAAACAGCAAATGGCATGGCTTATACTTCTGTCCTTCTCAACTTCTTAAATACTGAAGCGACGCCATCTCTCCAGTTTTTTCATACATTCTCAATGCATTTGTCACTCTTGGGACCTACCCCCTAAAACTTAAAATGTCAAAAATTATACCTATCTTCAAAGCTGACGACGAGACCGACACTTCTAATTATAGGCCAATTTCATTATTATCAAATTTCAATAGGATCTTCGAAGAAATTATGTTCGAAAGAATGAGAGACTTTATTGAAAAGCACAGCCTATTATATTCGTCTCAATATGGTTTTCGTCAAGCTCACTCAACCCAACATGCTATTCCTGATATGGTAGAAACTATACAAATCAATATGGACAAAAAAACTCTTTTCATCTGGAGTTTTTATTGACTTGAAAAAATGCCTTTTACACTGTGAATCATAATATATTACTTGATAAACTAAATTATTATGGCTTCCGTGGAATTGTCAATCAATGGCTGTATTCTTATTTATCAAATCGCGCACAAACTACTGAAATTGGCTCTCATATATCTAGTAAACTAAATATCAATTGCGGCGTACCCCAAGGATCTGTCCTAGGTCCACTTCTCTTCTTGCTTTATACCAAATATATAATATATTAAATGACAATTTTTCCTTTTTGCTGACGACACTAACGCTCCTTATGCTCATAAAGATTTAAAGACACTGGAACTTACAGTAAATGCAGAATTATACAACTTGTATAACTGGCTGACTTCAAGTAAGCTTTCTCTGAATGTTATAAAAAGTCAAACTATGTTATTTTTCGTCCATACCAAAAAAAATTCAACTGTGATTCCAAATTAATGTTTTTGACAATGAAAGCAATAAAAAGGTTACCCTTGAACGTAAAAACTGTATTAAATATCTTGAACTGTTAATCGATGAAAATCTATCATGGAAGACTCATATTCACTCTGTTGCAAACAAAATAAGTAAAACAATTGGGCTAAATGCGAGATTAAGACAAATTGTTCCCACTTGCACCTTCCTAAATATTTATCAGTCACTTATTACACCTTATCTAACTTACGGTCTTATTTCTTGGGGCAACGCGTGTAAAACTTTCCAGGACCAAATTCTTGTCCCTCAAAAACGCGCACTGCGTTTAACATATTTTGCTGATAGAAACGACCACGCAATACCCTTTTTTGTCAATGCAAAAAAATTACCTGCCTTTACAGGCTCTATATTATGAATATGTTTGTAGTTTTATGATGTAAATAAAAACGCTACTCCGGATAACATCTTGAAACTCTTCTCTCGAATTTCTAGTGTTCATCCTTACAATACACGTGCCTCAACCTCTGAACATTTTTATACTAAAGAATCTCAACTCAACGTCAAACGAAATGTTTTCTCGCGTGTTGGGGTCAAAATTTGGAATGGGATACCTCAAATTCTTAAAGAAAGACCAAAAAAAGCTTTTAAAGGATCACTAAAATCAACGCTACTCGATATCCTTCAAACTGAAGACTCCTATATTGATGAAGATACGATTATTGTCAAAATGAAAAAGTAATTCTCTTGTCCTTTCGTTTCATTTTATTTCAAATTTTAAAATTCTCTCCAATATTTTCCTTGTATTTAAGTACAATAGTATTTATTTACTGTAAAATATATATACTTATATAACGTCTAATTTCTTTTTATTTATCTAGTTTGTAGTAAATTATGTAGCCTGGCCTGCTTCTAATAGCCTCGCTAACTGCAGGCCAGTCCCAATGTATTTTATTTGTAATATATTTCCAAATTTCAATAATTAAAAGTTGAAAGTTGAAAGTTGTAGTTGTACACTTTAAGCGCAAGCAAACTTACCTGTAACCATGTGAACAACACCTTCCGTCCATTTTGCCCCTACAACAAACAGCTCGTGGTTTATCGCAGCAGCCGTAACTTCTGTGACTTGCTAGATAACAGCATGTTTGACGATTTCCACAAAGCCCTCCGTCCGGGCATTTAATAAAACCAACGTTGTTGCCTTTCGGTAACAAAAAAGAGAGATTGTTGTGAGATCGATATAATGCACAAATGCCAGTACAGAACTTGATCGAAAACTCATAATAGACGTTTTTGAGCGACGCAGGTCAACCGGAAATGAGACCTTTTCCCTGCGAACAAATTTGTTTTCCTAAGTGTCTTTGCATGCAAAAAGTCCACTTCCGGTTGACGTGTAGGAGAGGGGCCTCAGCCGAGGTGGATAACACAGCCTCCGAGATCTGCATAATTCAATCTTCACATCCCACGAAAACCGAAGTCAGTAATTTTCCTTTACCGATACATATATACGCAAAATATTTTACTTAGATAGTCTTGATACGGGCGTTATGATACGGCGGAAGGTCGACTTTTTACGCTCGTATTTACTTGTATCTTTCGGTCAAGTTATTAACAACCTCACCTCCTTGATTTTCTTCAAAAGTTTGGCCAATTTCTCGTCACAGTTTTAGAATATGAACATATGTTTTTTTTTCTTTCAGATGCTCTTAAAAAAATACGTGACATCCATGCTTGAACTTGAAAAGAATTGAAAAAATTGAAAGAATTTGGCCAAGGTGTCGTCTACAAATGACCAAAACCCGATCACGCTTTGTTCTTTCTTTGCAAGAAAAATTTAATATTTTTCTTCTAGAGTTCCAAGTATGACAAAAGATTGCTAACAATACCTCAAGTTGTTCGAAGGCCAGTTGCCCGGGGTTAAAGTTTAATCTTGTAGATTTTTAAGTCGATTTATTGGGTAATTCTCTCCATCAATTTTAGAACATCTTATTCCAATCATCAAATTGTAGACAAAAAAATTAAAACTGAATTTGCCTTTTAACCTTTCATATCTGATTCAAATTTCCTCAGCTTTGAACAACCCAGCCCAGGTTATAAATTTTGCAAAGCCTGGAACTCGCCATGACATATCCCCTTTAACCTTAGTCCCAAAAATGTTTAGAAAATGATCGCTTAAATTAATTTGACTTCGCAGCAATATTTATTTACCTCCTTTATCGGCATACGCACACACAAACGGCACAAGCATTACCAGGATGACGGCAACTGTCTTCACATTTGGTGCAAGCATTTTTCTAAGGGATCAAACACTCCTGAAGACCTGTGCGAACGTTAAAGTTAGGCGATATCAAGAGAAGAAAAATTTTGCTCGATAACACTCACAGTAAAATGTCACTCTTACGGTTCTTTTGACCGTTATTTCGTTTCACCGTAGTCTGAAACACCCTTATAAAAGTGACGGGGGTGTTCGTCCTAAAATTTCGAGAGAACACCCATAAAGGGTACAAGAATCTTGTTTTATGGGCGTGCCCCAAATTAATTTCCACCCCTAAGAGGTACCAATTCAACAACATCAAATTATATAACTGGCGCTGCAAATTTTAATAGTAATAACAATAACTTTCGAACACTTTCTTAGGTTTTAGCACCCTAAGTGGTACCAATCCACAAATTTAAACCGCTAAAAGGTACGACGAGCACCCCCGTCAACAAACAAAACAAAATGTATCCTAGCGATACGTACTTTGTGATATTCTTGGTTTTAGTCTTTTGAGCTACAGATAGGGCAGGAACACCAAAGTGATGAAGGAGAGAGAATGTTTATGCCTCGAGTTCCTTATATTTACGTATGTTATATGAAACCCGTACATGACACAAATAGTGAGCCTTGGTGGTGTGATAACACTCGAGGGTCGAATGTGATGTGTAAAGTGCATCGACCATGTGGACAGAGGGCTTTAAGTTATAACATGCCCAAAAGAGGGTTGTGCCACAAGTTTGTTTATATCGTAAATGACAAATAAACGCACGGGGCCTCTATTTAACTTAAGGGGCCCAAGAAAGAGCGTTGTAAAAAATACGAAGCGTTTAAAAGATAGGGGCGTTTTTTCTCATAACTGTAACTTTTGGGCGAAAATATCAAGAGAGTTTGAAAATAGTGGAATGTCCACTGTATCCACTCCATTAATTGATACATCTAGGCCGTCTAGCGATCCATTTAGCTCCTTCACAAGTCCCAACATAGATCGATGTCAGAATCCTCGTCCATGGTTAATGTTCTGCCATCAATAGTCTATCCTTACTTTAAACTTGACATTAAACAAGATTAAATGCGCACACTTTGACAATCAAGTAAAAACCTGAGTGAATTTAATGATTTTGCTCTTTTTTGCTAATTCCTAGTATATTTTTTGGAGTAATTCTCATAGGGGGCATCTGTTAGACAGGAGGGCGTTTATAAGAAAGGAAAGTCTAATAACATTTTAACAGCGTAGGGAGGGTGTTTGGTATATATAAGTGGCGTTTATTTGGAAGTAGGCGCTTATTAGGTCATTTACGCTAAGCTATAAGGAAACACAATGAATGACCCCAAAAAAACGTTAAGTACGGGTCTCTGAGAACTTCGTTGTTCCAGAAATAAAGTTTTCCATGCCATACCTACCATACAACCAACCGTCATACATGGTAGCAAGATGAGAAACCAGCTATTATTTGATACATGTAAGAAAAGGATCGAAGCTCAACGACACGTTAGGACTTACATTGCACGAGCAAGTCCTCTGCACTCGAGCACAATTCACCCTTTCTCATTTCAACTTGTCAGGTAGTAAAAACAACAAAGGTTAAATGGGATTAAATTAAGTTTTTGAAGAAGAACTGTCAACTAAATTAACGTCCATCGTTCGAGGCTCGGACTTTTAATAGAAGTGAAAGAGTAAAACATTGCAAAGATATATTGATCTTTTTGTGGGGTCTTTTCAAAAGTAGGATTACTATGATTTTTTATTTCATCTTCAAAGGCTTATTACACTTAATCCCCACAATGTAAGTAAAACCCCTGATAATAAATTCAAACACTGATCAAAAAACAAGTAGTATTTAACCTAGAGATAAACGTCCAGAAATTGAGCTTCAATACAAATACATAAGCACACCTTCTGAATTGATGTACAATTGAACTTTTTAAAGTGATTACTTAGACGTATTGGATTCTAACCCACTTGAGTTGCTTTTAAAAAAGGGCTGGAAACGCCCTACTGGGTGCCAGAGTCTTTTCATGAACGGGTTTTGATTTTGGTCAAGTCTTTAAAGTGACCCGCTCGTGGCTTCGGCCTTCGGCCGAAGAAGTGTAATCGACCTGTGGCCGATCCCGAAATATCTCCGCGCCAAAATCGCCGCACGCGAGAAAAAATGCTTGTATACCGCTGTTTCGAGAAAGGTCGTCAAAAAAAAATGTGCACGTGACAATCCCGAAAGGTAATATTGGATATAATCAATTCTCTGTTTCTTAACACCGTAGCTGTCGGACCTACTTTTGTTGCTTTTCTTTAGCACTCGCAAACATACCGTCTATGGTCTCTCGCATGATTCAAATTTCTTTGAAAAACAGTGAACTCAAAACCACCCACAAAACCTTTCGGGATTGTCGTATGCACTTTTCCCGACAATCTTTCTTGAAATAGCTGTAAACAAAAAGCGATCAACTAGTGTTACTCGTGCGAACAATAAGTCACTGGAGCTTCATTACAAGAACACAGGCCCACTCTCCTTATTCGAAGTCGAAACGCTGATCTGGGAGTAATTCTCTGTAAGAACTACGAATTTCAGTTGCATCCAAGTCGGTTGGCTTCGTCTTTATTACACGCGGATCGCATCTTAATTCGGCTGCGTTACATCTGCAAAGCAAAGAAAGAATCGTATCAAGAAATGGTCTATTGTAGCGGGTCCAATTCACCAAAACAATAGCCTTTTGTCCTAGGTGTTGCTGCCGAAAACAGACCGAAGAATGTATGCATAATCATTTAATCTTCGGCGTGACAAATTTTTAATATTAGGGAAGAGGAGAGAGGTTTTCTGCTTTGACGCGATGCTATTTTACAAGTGAGATTTATTGTGGCACACAACGCAGGAGTGTATATTTTGCGGGTGGAGTGGGAAAACAGTTTCACTTTTGATCGGACTGTGCTGTTATACTGAGTGCTGTGAACAAAAACAATATGATTTCAGAAATGCTTTACAGAGAACGTTCTTAAACCGTTATTAGTCCATACCTTTTTTTTACTTTAGTGCGCACAAAATCAGGGCAGTTGATAGCCAGTCAGATTTGAGAATTTTGAAATAGTTATGATTAGTAAGCAAAACAATAACTGTGCGCGCGCATCCGTCACCCTATTCTGTTAATTTCGTTGCGGTCCCTGCAAAACTACTCTGTAAAATGGTCCTTGGAAATAGAAAGGCGTACAATTTTGCACTTGCAGGCAGCACACTTTTTGGTATATTTTATTACCTTGGCTCCAGGACCACGACGTGAAATTTTCTTATGCGTGTTTTATAGAGGACGTTAAGACATAGTGACTATTTTTTTTTCCTTTCTAAACTTTGAGTGCGGTCCCCAAGAATTTAACTCCAAGGAAATTCACCTGCATTTGACATAAGGGACCGGTCATTATTTATCGCCTGGGGGGGGGGGGGGGGGGGGGGGG